GGTCGGATGGCCTCGGATGCCCAGCGTGTTGGGACGTGCATGGCACATGCAATCTCTTGTAGCTCGCCAGGAAGACATGGCGACCTACGACCAACAATGTGGATTTCACCTTATTTGAGCAATTAATCTTAGGATTGTTTTATCTCGTGAATTAATTTTTTCCAGAATATTATCTCGAAAGTTTTGTCATTTAAGCTTATCTAAAAAAAATTCTCACCGAAGATTGATTGAAAACCCTAAAAATTGAATGACTAAAATGTAAGCACATTAAAATTTGGGGGGCTATTTATGTAGTTTACCCTATAGGTAAACACTATATTAATGATGGAGATAAATGCTATACTATTCTTTTAATTGTACAAAAATATACGGATAATAAATAAGATCAGTTTAATCATTGATAGTTGACACAAAAATAAGTTTCTCTTAGTTTAGGTTTTGACCCATTTGACTTTATTCCTTCTCATAATTTACTATCGTTGCCTTCTGTGTATACTTCTCTTCATGTTTCCCCTGTTTAATTTTAGCCAGGTCTTACGTTTTTGTTCATGTGCAGAGATTTTTTTCGCATGGATTTATTTGCAGAGATTACTTTCTATTTCAAACGCGTATATAAAGATTGCATAAGAAGACTGTTCAACCATATATTTATTTATTTATTTATACATGCATTGTATTTTATCTTTATTTTTAATTTTTCTTACATCCGGAGGTCTTTCACGGAAGCTGCTCTCAACCTGGCGATGGGAGCAGCCTACTACCCTACCTCCCCCTTACCCCATCACATATGAGAATAGGGTTTTATTGTTATTCGTTCAATCTAGAAAGGTTAAATCGCTTATCTCAAGTTAACATCTAATCGTCTAAATCATGATAAAACATCACCTTGCATGTTATACATTAATATTGGTGCAACGAATGTGTGTTAAATTTTCTAATTAATACTTATATTCTCATTAAGAGTTCTTCGTTTAAACGAGTAAGTTTATGTTCGTGCCCGTTTATTTGTTTTTAAAGGTGTTCATGTTCAGTTTATGTTCGTTTAAATTTTTAATATCATGATCATGCTCATATTTATTTTTGAAGGTGTTCATGTTCGTTTAATTTTTTAATATCTTGATCATGTTCATATATTTATTTTTTGAAGGTGTTCATGTTTAGTTCGCGTTCGTTAATTTTTTAATATCGTGTTTATGATCATTTATTTATTTTTGAAGGAGTTCGTATTCGTCTAACGTTCGCGAACATGTTCATTTATATGTTCCTCAAAGTATTCATTTAGCGTTCATTTAGTGTTCGTTTGTATGTTCATTTTTTATTTTTTCGCTTTTACCATGTGTTCAATTTAGTTCTACCTTCGCTAATATTTAAAATGTAAAAAGAAAAAGAAAAGAAAAGGAGAATCGAGTACACGAGTCTGTTTATGAACATAAATGAATAAGTCGATAGACGAGCTCATAAACGTGCACGTTCGTGAATATAAACGGACCTAACATAACTCTATTCGTTTTTGTTATACGAATAATTCATGAATAGTGAACGTTCTGTTAATTTATACCTCTTGATCATCCCTCATTTCACAGCCGTCCGATGTCTTCCCTTCCAATACCCCTTCCCTTGCGTTTCCTCGGCAAACATTCACACCGAATCAAACCCAACCACCAACAATACCGTTGTGAATCCCGGTTTTTCTCCCAACCGCTGAACCACTTCAGCTTCTTGGATCTCCCCGAGTTCCGACAGCGTTAACTTATCAACCCCGAACATTGGGTTGGCCCTTCTCGTTTAGGCCCAATGTTCCTCCACTGCGGCAACGGAGATGACATCGAATTGTTCGCCGTCGACACCGGTTTTGTCTGGGACGTCGCACCGCGCTTCGGTGCCATGATTCTATGAAATTGTAGGATTTGATTCACGTCATTATTGAAACAGTGTTAGCCGCATGGAGGAGGCTCAAGCATCCTCGTGTTGCAGTTGGGGCGCTTGCTTCATCAGCTCCTATTCTTCAGTTTGAAGACATTGTGCCACCAGAAACATTTTATAATGTTGTCTCTAATTCTTTCTAGGTTTTATCACATATGTGTTATTAGTTAGTTTGGTCTTTGTTACATTTTGTTGTTTATTGGGAAGAATTTATATATTCTAACACTGCCACATTTTCTAAAACTTTCCGCTTGTGTCGGTAAGAACGATGGCAGAATTGGCATATGTGCATTTCTGTAAGGTATATTCAAGTGTTCTTACAGTTTATACTTGAAAAGTTTCAGGCGCTCATCATATCGACTTGCGTGCCTCCACGATGGAGGACCCTGATTGGTTAGTTGAACACAGGGCAACAGAGGTCGAGTTGATCCATGGCTGGCTCGATAACTATCGTAAGAACATGAAAGCAGCCTTCAAGATTTTGATAAAATGGTGTGTAAGTAAATGGATGTTTAAGTGTTTGCAGCAATGGGAAACCATGCAATTCATTGTAAGATGTTGCAGGGTTAGAGATTTTTAAAAGGGAATAAAACATGGGAAAGCTTTCATGATTATTAAAAGATTTAATACCAAAATAAGTGTCCAAAGTATACATAAATTCTCGAATAGGTGCCTAAACTATTTTTTGACCCATCCAGGTGCCTAACATTATAAACATTACCTATATAGGTGCCCAGACCGTCAACGACGTTAACTTTCCCGTTAAGTGACACGTGTCACAATCTAGTGATTCTAAATTTTTTATTTAAAATTTAAAAAAATTAAGTGCCCAAACTATACCTAAATTCTCGAATATGTGACTAAACTATTTTTTGACCAATCCATGTGCCTAACGTTACAGACGTTGTCTATTTAGGTGCCCGGACCGTCAACTACGTTAAATTTCCCGTTAAGTGACACATGTCACAATCTAGTGATTCTAATTTTTTTATTTAAAATTAAAAAAATAAAATTATATATATATTTTAAAGAAAATCATAAGCAGTTTGAAATAACACCAAAAACTTTGAAAACCTTCATTTCAACCCCTAAACCTACACCATCCATCACCCTTTGTCGTCGATGAAGCTCCACCCGACCTCATCTCCCCCGACGACCAAAACCCCCATGAAATCGTGATCGATCGACGATCGATTGACGGCGAATCGACGTTTTATACCCCGCGAACCCTAGGATGAAAATCGTCATCTCACGCGATCTGGACAGCCAATTGATGACAACTACGATGGCATATGACTAGGAGGATGACAAGGACTACGTCGGAGGCGATGATCGTGGCCGAAAAGGGCTGCAGCAACGGGTTAAAGATAGGATTTGGGGATTTTAGGTATTTTGGGGATTTTTTATAATTTAAGAGAAATTAAGGTTTTTTTATAAAATATAATAGTTTTTAAATATATATATATATATATATATATTTCAAAATACCAGATTGTGACACATGTCACTTAATGGAAAAATTAACACCGTTGACATCCTGGACATCTAAATGGATAATATTTGTAACGTTAGACACTTGAATTAATCAAAAAATAGTTTAGACACCTATTCGAGAATTTAGGTAAAATTCACACACTTATTTTGGTATTAATCCTTATTAAAATAGGGTGTCCTAGTAGATAAATTTATGATTCAAACATCAATGATCTGGTATTATATATATGATTGAATTTTGTTTGATTTTGGATTTCATTCTCAGTGAAGAGATGGTGGTGGGATCAAGAATCCACAAATAGACCTTAGGCTTGCTCCACTAGAACTTGTTTTCTTAAACAAGACGAGTTTGGGATTAATGAAAACTTTTCACAAATAAGAGCATCATTGCTTACGTTTGAAAGTATTGAAATTGCGACAAGTCATAACAGTAAAGGATTTGTATTATCGATCAAAATTTAAACAATGTTTACTCTCTCTTTTAGTGAAACGTCTAATTCAGTGACCAAGTGCGTGGCCCGATGGCCAAAGTTGGATTCATGCTCCCAAACGTTTCAAAGTTTTCTTTGATTTTATTCTCATAAGATAATGATATATGTCGTCGTGGTCATCATCGAATAAAATCAATTAAAACTATAATTAATTGTTGACCCCAATTATTTTATTTAGTTGTCCTCCCGGTTTCAAGGTTATATTGATTAATCCGAATCGACCTGTGTTGCATACCTGATTTTGATGGATGAATCTCCTAACAGGAATTTTTTATATACACAAAAACTCAAACTTAAAACTTTACTTAAACATAATCAAATTATTTACAACTTAAACCACCCTATTAAAGAACCCAAGTTATTGACTATGAAATAGAAAATAAAATGAAAACTAAAAAAATATCTTTTTTTCATGCACTTGCAGCCTATTAAAGATGCCCTTATTATCAGGTCATATCATAGATAATTTTAGGCTTAATTATAAAATAGGATAAATTACACCAATCAATATTAAAGTTTATTATTTATCCTATTTCACTCACTATACTTTAAATCCGTTTAATTTCCTCACTAAACTTAAAATAATTAACATTTTTTGTCACTCAGCCATTAAATATTTAATAGCGTTAAAACGACATGTTTTAGGAAAATAAAATTTTCACAAAAATGACATCTTTTTGTATCTATAAAACAACTCATTTATACCGTTGTTTAGTGAGAAAACAGTTGAGTAACCAAAAATGCTAATTGTGTTAAGTTTAGTGAGAAAATTGAATGAATTTAAAGTACAATGAGTGAAATAGGAGAGAGAATAAAGTTTAGTGATGATTGATGTAATTTACCCTATTTAATAAATGCCCAAACTATTTCACGAATATGTGCTTAAACTATTTCACGAATATGTGCTTAAACTATTTTTAACCTATCTAAATATCTAATGTTATAAACGTTATCATTTTAGATGTTCAGATCATCGACGGTGTTAATTAACTCCATTAAGTGACACATTGATAATTTTATTATCAGTTCGGATCCATCTTGATTTGAAGATCCGATTATCGGATCCAAAGTCAATAAGATTCACAATGTAACCCGGGCTTTGAAATGGTTTACCTCCGAGTCTGATATCCCCAACGACCACACTAAACAGTTGACTGCTCGGGATCATCCGCGAAATCTCGCTCCCCGAAAATGGCAAGTTCCACAGTGTCTTTCCTCCTCGTCCTTCTCTTCATCACCGCCGTCCTTTTGCAATCCTCTTCATCATCCCCCACTTCACAGCCGTCCGATATCTTCCCTTCCAACAAACCCCCGCGCTTTCTGGGCAAACATTCACGCCCAATTAAACCTAACAACCAACAATACCGTTATGAAACCCGGTTCTTCTCCCAACCGCTGGACCACTTCAGCTTCTTGGATCTCCCTACGTTCCAACAGCGTTACCTTATCAGCACCGAACATTGGGTAGGCCCATCCCGGTCCGGTCCAATCTTCCTCTACTGTGGCAACGAAGGTGACATCGAATGGTTCGCCGTCAACACCGGTTTTGTCTGGGACATCGCACCGCGCTTCGGTGCCATGATTCTATTCCCAGAGGTACGTTGATATGTTAAATTTTTTACTCACTTTCCTTTTTTCGAAGGCCGTTTTTGGTTGAAAATAAGTAAATGTGATGTTAATGGAATGGACAGCATCGGTATTATGGGGAGTCAATGCCGTTTAGAAGTAGAGAAGAGGCTTATAGAAATGCCACTACTCTTTCTTATCTCACAGCCGAGCAAGCGCTTGCTGATTTCGCACTCCTCATTACTGATCTGAAGCAGAATTTGTCCGCCGAAGGGTGTCCGGTTGTTTTATTTGGCGGTTCCTATGGAGGAAGTATGCCCATCATTTATTAATTCTTTATTTGTTTTCCAAATGAAACAATTAATTTGTTCTAAGGAGTAGGATGTATATGAGATGGTAGAATTTGATTTGTGGAATGGGTTTTGATTCATGTCACTATTGAAACAGTGTTAGCGGCATGGATGAGGCTCAAGTATCCTCATATTGCTGTTGGGGCGCTTGCTTCATCAGCTCCGATTCTTCAGTTTGAAGACATTGTGCCACCAGAAACATTTTATAATATCGTTTCCAATTCATTCAAGGTTTTATTACATAGATGTTCTAATTTAGTTTTGTTTTTGTTTGTAGTGAAGTATATTTGAAAGCTGTTAACTTTTTCCTTATTTTATTCTTCTTTCAATATATAGCGGGAAAGTAGTAGCTGCTTTGACACTATTAAAAGGTCATGGAATGCACTGGCATCCGAGGGTCAGAAGGAGGATGGCCTTCGGCAATTGTCTAAAACTTTTCGCTTTTGTCGGTAAGGACAATGGCAGAAATTTGTATACCTGCATGATGCTCTGATTGATTTTGGTATGATGTAGAATTTTTTTAGTGATATAATTTGAAGCTCTTGGCAGGGAACTAACGAGCGTCCAAGCCCTAACAGACTGGTTGGATTCTGCTTATAGTTATTTGGCAATGGTTAATTACCCATATCCTTCAAATTTTTTAATGCCTTTGCCAGGACATCCTATAAAAGAGGTTAGTTGAGATTGTTATGACTTGAAACTTATATTGAGGCTATAGCATACCATTTATACCCTAACTATATGCAAGATGGATTTAAGCATGTAGGGTAACAAAGCTACTTCCTGAACTACTCTTCCATCCTCCTCCTATGATGTTATAGTGCCACCGTTCTATGATGTTGTACCAATCGGAACATTAATTTTTGGTGAAATAAAAAAATAGAGAAGAAATCGGTCAAAGGTTGAGTTATAATTATTACATTTAGGGGTGTGTATTCGTTCTAGTTGAGTAAAAAAATTCGAGTTAGTCGAGTTGACGAGTCCTATTTTGTAACTCAAACTTTATTTGAAACTTTTTCGAGTAGAATTTATGAAAATTGAGTCGAATTGTTCGAGTTTTTGTTTAAATTTAATTGCAAATATTTATAATGTTATGGTTCTAAATTAAACGGCTTTCTATAACCATGTACGATATACATATATATTTCTTCATTTTTTTCTTAGTGATATACATATATCACACATAGTTGAGGGACTCAACTCGAACTTGAAGTCAATCCACTAATTATTAAAAATTTTGAGTTATTCAAGTCCTATTTTATAACTCACACTTTATTTGAAATTTTTTTGAGTCGAGTTTGTGAAATTACAAGTCAAGTGAATTAGAGCTTTTTAGCTTCGAATCGAGCCGAAAAATTTGGTCTTTTCCGAATTGATTTGAGTTTTGCTCACCCCTAATTACGTTGCATATGCACTATCATTTTTCTGTTTGTTAATTGCTGTTCTGAATAAACTTCAAGAAAGTGTATGTTAGTGTTACAGTGGTTCACATCTCTTGTAACTGTGTTTTACTGCAATTTTATGATTCTTGAATATGTGCTATTTGTAATGCAAGCTTTACATATGTAGTAAACACCTTACTGTTGTGGATGACTTTGATTTCATAGCTGTATGTAAATTTATTGAAGGTGATGAGAAAAGTTAAAGAGATAAAGATTAGTAGTTAATTTTGATTCATTAACCATGAATACAGGTTTCACTGCTGTTAGTATTTAATATTTTTGATATGGATTGTTTTATAGTAGAAATGTTTGTGTTTTTATGTGAGAATGCTACTTTCTTGTTAGGATCTCACAAATAAAGGAACTCTTGGCAATTCAAGCTTTATGTACACTTGTTGCAATGTTTTCCTTCATTTTTGTTATGGAACTTGTTGCATAGTGTTGCTGTTATTTTTGGAACTTTGTTTTCTTGTGTGATCCAGCTGTTGTCTAACATCTTACTTTAATACATATAATCATATTGTAGTTATGCAGAAAGATTGATGGTTCTCCTGACGGTTCTAGTATTCTGGAGCTTATATTCAATGGAGTAAGCGTGTATTACAATTATACTGGCGAGGTTGAATGTTTTAAACTTGATGATGATCCTCATGGCATGGATGGGTGGAACTGGCAGGTCTTGGAATCATATTACTTTTTACTTCTAAACCAGTTCTATAAATCTCCAAAACATTATATAATTATGCATTATTACTGAATGTTTTTGTCATTTCTGGCTCTTGGCTTAGGCGTGCACTGAGATGGTTATGCCAATGTCTAGTGATCGAAATACTAGCATGTTTCCAGCATATGACTGGGATTACTCTGCTTTCCGAGAAGGGTGCAGGATGGATTTCCAGGTGATACCAAGGCCTAGATGGATAACTACTGAATTTGGTGGACATGTAAGAGAATAATATGTTACTATACGTTGGCTAGTTCCTTCAGTTTGCATCCTTTTCTGCACTGCCTTGAATGAAAGCTAATATGTTGATGTGAAGAATGATGAATAAGCCTTTGTGTTTATATGAAGGATATCGAGCATGTATTGAAATTCTTTGGAAGCAACATCATATTCTCAAATGGTCTATTGGATCCTTGGAGTGGTGGCAGGTGAATTCCACAGATTGGTTATTATCGATGTTTTAATCATCTAGTTTCTGATGAATGCTCATATTATTGTTTGCAGTGTTTTGAAGAATATATCTGAAACTATTGTTGCTCTTGTTACGGAAGAAGGTAATGCTTTCTGAAGTGATCTTTTACTTCATTTTTTAATGAGCATAATAAATATAGAGTGAGTAATGAGTTTTTCCAAGTTTTTCTATATATGAAAGACCATACCCTTGCCTGAATATATGCCGGAGATGAGTGCTGGACCCGTGTATTTTAGGGAAAGTGAAGAGTCTCAGAAACATAGATTACCTGCAAATTCATGAACTCTTGAGTTATAACACTTAATGCTGTTATGTAGAATTCAGTTAACAACATAAACTGATGAAGTTTGCAACTGATTAACTTCGGTAAAACCGGTATGATTCAAGTATTCAAACATCACTTAGTAATGCTGTTATGTAGAATTCAGTTAACAACATAAACTGATGTAGTTTGCAACTGATTAACTTCAGTAAAACCAGTATGATTCAAGTATTCAAACACTTGCAATGTTTCAGGCGCCCATCACATCGACTTGCGGTCCTCCACTAAGGAGGACCCCGATTGGTTGGTTGAACAGAGGGAAACTGAGATGAAGGTGATCCAAGGTTGGCTGGATGAGTATCATAAGAAAATGAAAGCAACCTCCTACATGTAGATAAAGGTTGTGTAAATATATAATCTAGGTTGTGCACTTGTGGTTGCCATCTTTTGGCCTTAGGCATTGCCAAAATAAGCTTATTATAGTTTGGCTTTTTTTCTTTGCTTATTCCCCCACACGACCACGCTCATGAAATGGATGCACTCACTTTAGGGGAAAACTGATGCTTTGTTAGAGCCATGAAATGTATGTTGGATTGTTTGCAGCAATGGTATTACTTCTTTTGTTAAGGCATGTAAGCCATTCGGTTGGTGTACTTTAGGGCTCCAAGTCCTAGAAATAAATATTTCAGAATATGGATCTTTAACTTTTGTATCATTTTTTTCTCTGAAAGATGATTAACTATTATTAAATAAACATAGATTTTTTTTTTTTGAAAAATATTTGAGAGGTGAAGAGAAAAATTAAGATTGTCTTCATTAGAAAGTTAAATTCTATAAATTTATATATAATAATATTTTAACAAGTTGTTGAATATTAAATATATCTTTAATTATTATTTTTTGTTTAAAAGAGTTATGTTGTTGAGCAAGCACATTTAATTGGTTGGTTAAGTTGCTCATCTTTGTTCTCTTATATTTTCTTAGGTCATTGTTTTTAGACCCAATAGGAGTAGGTCTGTAAATGAATTGAACGAACACAAACAATAGTATATTTATGTTCGTTCATTTAACTTTAATCGAACAAATGAACGAACACAGACAATTAAATGAACAAAATTTCTTGTTCGTGTTTGTTCATTAAGGAATATAGTTTGTTTGAATTCATTCATGTTCATTTGTGACAAATGATAAACAAACACAAACAAATGAATGTAAACGAACACAAACGAACGAACATACAATTAATTGGGTTTATATTTTAGAAGAGTTTTTTTTCCTTTTCAAATAATTGAAGGGTTTATATTTTATTTAATTGATTTGTGTATTTTTTATTTGGTTTTTAAAATATTAATGGGTTTAATGTTAAAATTTATTAGGTTTTCATATTTTAAACGGGTATAGAGATTAGACTGAATATAAACGAACGAACATAAACGAATTGCTTACCAAACACTCATGAACGCAAATGAACAAACAAACCCTTTGTTTGTGTTCGTTCATTTAATTAAACGAATGTAAAGTCTTGTTCATTCCGTTCGTTTAACAAATAAACGAATTTTTCTCCCCTCTTCCCCTCCTCTATAGATAGGATTATGATTATATTTAGAATTTGATGAAAAAAAAAAAAAGAAGGTTTTGTTGTTGTTTTTCTATCAAATAACTGTCACTAATACTATATCATAATTTTTGTTCTTTTATATGGTGCTTGTAACTCAGATAGGCAGCATTTGTCAAGCCGTCATGGCTTTAATTTATTTTTATGTCAAAATTGATAGTACTTATCATTATTCTCGATAATGATGTTCATTTTCATCTATTTTTCTTTAGAAATTATATCGTTTATATGACAAATTTTTTAATGTTGTTAATTATGACATTAAATTTTTATTTTCGTCTTAATTATATCACTGAGTTGTTAAACCGTTAATAGTCAGATAAAAAAGATATCATTTTGGTGAGGTGTCTACATTGGCAGCCAACAGCCACGTCATCGTGCTATTAATTATTTAATGGTTTAGTCATATAATTGAAACAAAAATCAATGTTCAGTGTTATAATTGACAAAATTAAGAGTTCAATAGTATAAATGATATTACGCCAAAAGCTTGGCTGTAACTGATGTAGTTTGCCTTTTTTTAATATATTTTAATTTTGTTCAGTTATACATATATAACTTTGATTTTAATTTGATTTAATTATATAAAATTTAAAAATAAATACAATTATTTATTTTTTATCAAATAAATATAATTATTTACATATACCAAAATTAAATAAAAACAAAATTTATGTATATAGTTGAATAAAACTAAAATTCATGTATAACATTATACATTTGACGAGGATTTATGCATAATTTTAGTATTTATTTTTATAAAAAATATAATTTAATGTAAAAAATATAATAAAATATGAAATTAAGTGTGTATAAAAAATTAATTGGTTTAGTAGAACGAGGAGCGAAGTTTATAAATAATTTTAGAATTTAAATTTTAAAATTGTGAATGAAATAAATTGTATTAGATGAAATACTTTTATAATAATAATTTTTTATTATATTTAATTTAAATTAATTCACTAATGAATTAGATAAAAGTAATTACCAAAAAAAAAAACAAAGTGGGTTGTAAACCAAGCTGAAATATTGCTTTATCTTTGAACGTTATCTAAAGAAATTTTAAAAGAATATACGTGATACACATTATTTTTTATGGCTTAATGTCAAAAAAAGTGCTCAAAGTATACCTTTTGTGTTAAATAAGTCTTACATTTTTTTGGCTTATCCGAGTGCCTAATGTTACAAACGTTAGCACTTTAGGTCTCAAGCTGTCAATGGCATTGGTCTTTCCTGTTAAGTGACATGTGTCACAATCTGATAATTTTAAAATATATATATATGAAATTAAAAAATAAGATTATATATTTTTTAAAAAGAAAACACATAAATTTTGAAATAATCCCTAAACTTTAAAAACCTTCATTTCAACCCTTAATCCACACCGAATGCAACCCTTTGCCGTCGAAGAAGATCCACTCGACCTCCCCTCCCCCTGGCGACCAAAACCCCTATGACATCGTGACCGGTTGACCACCGATCGACGATAAATTGACATTTTAAATCCCGTGATCCTTAGGAAGAAAATCGCGATCCCACAAGATTTCGATGGTGAATCGGCAACAACTATGTCGACATATAACTAGGATGATGACTAGGACTTCTTCGGAGGCGATGGTCGTGGCCGGAGAGGATGACGACGGTGGATTAAGGTTAGGATTTGGGATGTTTTATAATATAAGAAAAGTTAGGGTTTCTTTTTATAAATATAATAATATTTTTAATTTTTAAAAAATAAATTTTAAAATTATCAGGTTATGACACGTGTCAATTAACAAGGGAAACTAATGTCGTTGATGACCTGGACACCTAAAGTGCTAAAATTTGTGAAGTTAGGCATCCGGATGAGCAAAAAAAATGTAGACACTTATTTGACACAAAATGTATATAGTTTGGGTACTTATTTGGGCATTAAGCCTATTTTTATTAATTTTAAAAGAAAATACAATGTTAGATATATATTGATATTAAGTTGTTAGACGTATCATTTTGTGGAAGGATTTTCTACTTCATTTTTTATCAGATTTCAGAAACGTATTTTAGTTTCCAATTTAAAATTGAGCAGATCAAACGTGACTAAAGATAAAGATTTGATTGTAACAGCCACGAAATCCACCCATTAATTAACTTAACTTTTTAAAATAAAATAATAATTTAATATAGCTGACGTGGAACGTTGACCGCCATTATTTCTATTCACTTCTCATCTTTTTTTCCCGCACAATGGCGGCCTAAATCTGGCAATACGACACCGCTTTTATTTCACCCACAGTAGAAAGGTCATTCTCTTTGTGATTTCCTCTATGAAGAACAAAACCCGACTCAGGGGGTGTCACTCGGTAGCTCACTCACTGTTACTTTGATTCTTTGATATTGTTATCTTTTTTCAGAAGAGGAAACGAAAAAAAAGTTGAAGAATCTGATGAAAACCAGCTAAAGTCATACGGAAATCTAGGGTTTCGATAAGGTGATCGGGCTTGGAAGATGGCGAGTCCGTTCACGCAAGGTACTAGTAGGGCGTTGTCAATTACTCCGGGATCTCGGATTTTGAAGAGTCCTCTCGGTGAAGAAACGATCTGGAAGCGGCTCAAGGAAGCTGGATTCGATGAAGCATCCATCAAGAAGAGAGATAAAGCTGCTCTAATTGCTTATATTGCAAAGCTTGAAGCAGAGGTTTGCTTCAAATCTTTAAACTGATACTCTCAAATTATTTTCACGATTGTGTTCATTTTTAAGGCTTTGTTTGGCTTTTGGTGCAATAGGTAAAAGTAAAATTTTGAACGCTTAAATTGTGAACTCTGAAGGTAGATGCTAGAAAACAACAACGTGTCCAGTTTGTGTTCTAAATCTTCAAATGAAAATGATATATGTAAGCTTAGATGGAAAATGTTGGTAGTGGATCTGATCTTTAACAGATTTCTGCATAAATTTGAAGTAATTTAGCATTCTGTATAGGAATTTGTTTTTAATATTTTTGACAATGTGATCTATGGGGTTACTTTTCAATGTTGAACTACCAAATTAAGTCTTGGACATTGTTTCTGGTTAGAACTACTGTGTTTCGCTTAAATGCCAATTTAGTGGCATTCTATGTGTTTTCATTGCATGATCTTTGATGGAACAAAGTTGATTATTTACTTATCTGTTTGTACTTTTTTAATTATGTGTTGTTTCACTTGAGGTGGTACCCATTTGGCGGTGGACATTAGGGGCATCCAAATGACACCATTAAATTGAGGTGTAGGTTTATAAGAGCTTTTAGGAGCATTTATTATTTTTTTGGCGGCTTCTTTTATTTGTTTCATTGTTTTTGGTCAGCTTTTCTTGGCTTCTGCGTCATTACATTGGGATTGAGTACTTTTTATCTGGGCATTTTTCCTTTGTGTTTTCGCTTGTTAGTTCCAATGAATGGCACATTAGTAAGCTGTGATCTTTACCTAGTTTTATGTGAAACCGACTGCTTTGCACAAAGGATAAGAGTCTCGAGTGATGGCAGTCTTGGTTTATAGCATATTTCGATACTTGCATTGTTCACATGTTGCTCATAAATTCATGTTGTAAATCTTCATTTATTATCTGCTTTTCGTCGCATAGCTACTATTACTAGCATATTTACAATATTTATTTATTCTTGTATGTAGCTCTCTGACCACCAACACAACATGGACCTTCTTACATTGGAAAGAAAGGAGTTAGCTTCCCAGTATGAACAAATTAAAGCTTCTGCTGAAGTAAGTGAGCTAATGCATAAACGTGATCAAGCTGCACATATATCTGCTCTTGCAGAAGCAAAGAAGCGTGAGGATGGTTTGAAGAGAGCTTTAGGAGTTGAGAAAGAATGCCTAGCAAGCGTATGGTTATTATTTGGAGCCTCTCTCTTTCTTGTAGTTATTTTCCCTTTTTACTATTCTTTCAGCATTTTTATATGTTTCTTTGGACTTTGTTATTGGATTTTATAGATTGAAAAGGCTTTACATGAGATGCGTGCAGAGTCTGCTGAAACTAAGGTTGCAGCTGAAAGTAGATTAGATGAAGCACGTTCTATGATTGAGGATGCTGGTAAAAAATTTGCAGAAGCTGAGGCAAAGTTTCATGCTGCAAAATCTTTACAGGCAGAAGCTACCCTTATCCAGCGTGATGCTAAGAGAAAGATCCAACAAGTTGAAGCACATGAAGATGACTTTAGTAGACGTACTGTATTGTTAAAAAACGAGTATGTCATATGCATTGTGTTTTCTTTCTTCATGTTGTGGTACCGTGACCGTCATTTTCTTTTTTTACCGTTTCTCTGTTTTTCCCCATTGGTTTGCAGTTGACATGCTTTTATTTCCCGGGGGAATTTTGCGCTCTATATATAGTCTTTATTCATACAATGTAGTATTTGCTTTGCTGGATCGCTATGAATTAGGTCTTGTAATGAAAAGTTTCTGTAAATAAGAATCCACAACATGATTGCATAGTAATCTTTTTAATCTGTTTATATGAGAGAAACATGATTGAATCGCCTATTGCTGAAAGTGAACAAGTAAATACTAATTAGCTGGGTCAGTGTGGTTTTCTGCGGATACATGCATGCTTTGTTACATTTATACAGTTTGCTGATGATAATAAAATTCAGACAATAGTTTTTACCATGATTTCAGATTTATAAATTTGAATAAAATTTTTGGTTCAGTGAGTGTTAATTATTTGGTCCTATGTTTTAGTTCTGATGCAAAAGAGAGGGAGATCACCCGCGAAAGGAAATCGCTGAGTGAGAGGCAGAAGATTGTACAGCAAGAACATGAAAGACTGCTTGATGGACAAGCTTCCCTGAATCAAAGAGAGGAGTATATTCTCAGTAGAACTCAAGAACTAAATCGACTTGGAAAGGAGTTGCAGGCTTCAAAAGTGGACATTGAAAAGGAACAAAGAGCTTTGAAGGATGAGAAATCCAACATTGAGTTAACTTTAGTTTCTCTATCAAAAAGAGAGGAGGTTGCATATTTCATTTGCCCATAACAGTTTCTGTTGTGGAGTGCTGTTTCATGTGAATTTGTTGCTTTAACCTCATTGAAAGTTGCCATAATTCAGTGCCTCTCTTGTGCATGCAGGCCATTATGGAGCGTGAAGCTTTGCTTAGCAAGAAAGAGAAAGAGCTCCTTGTTTCTCAAGAGAAACTTGCAAACAAGGAATCTGTGAGTTACTTTGTTGAACACTCTTTAGTATGTTCACTTTATTTCTGTTTCATTTATGGGAAATTTATTCTTTTCACTGAATGATGCAGGCTGAATTTCGCAAGGTTATTGCTAGTCATGAAAATGCATTGAGAACCAGAAAATCTGAGTTTGAGAGCGAGCTTGAGCTCAAGCGCCAAATGGTGGAAGATGAGATTGAAATGAAGAGACGGGCATGGGAGTTGAAGGAGATGGATATAAGTCACAAGGAAGATCAAATTTGTGGAAGAGAACATGATCTTGATGTTCGATTGAGGATAATAGCAGAGAAGGAGAAGGAAGTGGCTGAGAAGTCAAATCTGATAGATTTGAGAGGAAAAGATTTGAGTGATTTTGAAAAGGAACTTGAGTTGAAGAAAGCCCTTTTAGAAGAAGAAAAGGAAGAGATCGGTAAAACGAAAGTAGAGCTTCAGGAGTCGCTGCTGTTATTGGAAGATAAAAGAAACCAGGTTGATCGTACAAAGGAGAAACTAGAAGCCCTGAGAAGTGATACACATGAATTATCAATTTTAGAATTAAAACTGAAGGAAGAACTTGATATGGTTAGGGCTAAAAAATTGGAGCTGATGGCTGATGTTGATAAGTTGGAAGTAGAGAAGGCAAAATTTGAAACAGAGTGGGATTCGATTGATGAAAAAAGAGAAGAGTTGCGAAAGGAAGCAGCACGCATTTGTGAGGAGAGAGAAGCAATTTCTAAGTTCCTCAAGGATGAGCGTGATAGATTGAGAAGGGAGGGCGATATGATGCGAGAGCAGCATAACAAGGATGTTGAATCATTGAATCGTGAGAGAGAGGACTTCATGAAAAAGATGGTGACTGAGCATTCTGATTGGTTCAACAAGATTCAAGAAGAGCGTGCTGATTTCTTGTTAGGAATTGAAACCCAAAAGAGGGAGCTGGAAAATAATATTGAGAAAAGCCGTGAAGAATTGGAAAGTTCTTTCAAGGAAAGAGAGGAAGCATTTGAGCGAGAAAAGAAAAATCAACTTGATCATATTAATGCTCTAAAGGAAATAACGGAGGAGGAGTTGGAACAAGCTACTTCAGAAAGGAGAAGGCTTGATGCTGAGCGGTTAGAAATCAAGTTGGATCGTGAGCGAAGGGAACATGAATGGGCTGAATTGAACAAGTCTATTGAGCAGCTTAAGGTGCAAAGACACAAATTGAAGCTACAAAGGGAATTATTGCATGCCGATAGAGAAGAGATACATGTTGAGATTGAAGAGCTAAAAAAGTTGGGGGACTTGAAAGCTGCTTTGGATAATATGACAGTGGCTCAAATGCAGCGCTCTATTGTTGAGCTTAGTCAGCAGAAAGCATCTGGAAGAAGGAATCTGAAGCAGCAAGCTGTCGTGCAAAATGTTGAATCTGGTTCGGATAAAAATAAAGTTGTTGCTCTGAATGGCAATGGATTCAACTCGCCAATGTCAAAACCATATAGTACTCCTAGCTCATCCCGTTTCTCTTGGATCAAGTGCTGCAGTGATTTGATATTCAAACATACCCCTGACAAGGCTCAAATGAAGCCTGAAGAGAGAGCTTTAATATCTGATTCTGACCATGAAGATGGATGTTTGAGATTAGCTGGAAGGAAAAGAAAAGCTGACAACATACCTACAAATGGCACTAAAAATAGTAGGCAAAAGAAAGATGCTTCTGTGACTGCAAAGGATTGTACTCTCTGGTATCTACTTCTCTACTTAATTGATTTTTTCTTAGCATGTTCTCTTTACAACGTCATTTGTTATTTTTTTTTCAGCGCAAATTCCATTGAACCAAATACAGTGCTGGATCAGCCTGCATTGATGTTGTCATACAAGCAAAGACAAGGAGGGTCTAATGAGTCCAATGTGTTAAATGTTGATAGAATAGTTGATATTTCTGAAGTAGTCCATGTAAAAAAAACTGTAGATGCTTTTTCCAATCTTGGAAATATTCATGGAAGTGATACAGGAGACAATGGTAAATCCAAAGAAGCATTTTTGGTGCAAAAAGCACGTATGGGGAATGTTTCTGAAGTTACCAAGCCCTCTCAGGTAATTTCTGGTTGTACTTGTCTGCAAGTTTCTTGCCAGCTTATTAGTATCAGCAGTCTACTAGACTCTTATTTACAATATGAATTCTTTGCTTCCTTTTGTCTTACCGATGTCACATCTCCATTTGTTAACAGTAGCATTTCCTGTTTTTGAGCAAGTTAATGTTTTTTTCTCATACTAGTAGGTATACAAACAAGTTGACAACTTCCATCTTCTAGGAACTGTTCCACTGCATTTTCTCAGAGCAAAATTGCCCATCTTATTGCTGTCCATGTTTAGTTTGATATAGGCTTCATAACTCGGTTTCCTAGTCAGACTTTTTTCTGTATCCCTAAGGTTTATGCGATTTTTGATTCTGTAGCAAAAGGAAGACAAATCAGGAGAAGATGAACAGAAATTTGTAGATGACGCAGCTGTCAAACCAGGTGAGAAAACCGAATTGAGGGCGGTGCTGAAACAGTTGTTGTAGCAGTATAATTTCTTTTTTAGCTTCTAAATTCGATTGATGTTTGAACTATGATGAATCATTGAATTTGAAACAACCTTCTAATTACTCCTTTTGGCATATTGCAGGATAGAAGTGACTAGTATATAATCGGGAAGGGATCAATTTGTGTTGTAGCAACCGAAGCTAGCAAACCATTTTGATCAACTAATTCGTAAATAAAAAAAGAAAAAGAAAAAAGGAACATGTAAATGCTTGTCCATCCTCTTTTCTTTTGGTGGTGGTTTCTTTAGTGTTACATTTCTTGGTGTATGTGTAGTAGTGGTGACAGGTATTGGTTGAGAGTGGATTGTGATGGTTTGATGGGGTGATAATTGGTGTGGTGTTTGAAATTGTTGGGATGTATTCATGCTTTGGTTTACTCCCCCAATGTAGTGTGGGGTTTGTTTTAGTTAACCCTCAAACTTTGAACTGTTGCTGTTAGTACTATTATTGTCATCATTATTGTTATAGGGTTGATCATGTTGTCTTGTTTTTGCATTAATCTTTTATGCTGAAAACAGAAAAACTTAAGGTGATTGCTCGCTTGAGAGTGTGTTTGAGGAATTTAGCTGATCAAAATCTCACATAAATAAGTATGAAGGTAACAAATCCAAGACTTAATATTAATTAAGATTAAACTATATTATTTGTTAGTGTATCAGGTTTGATTGATAAATATGTTATAAAATAAAAATATATTTTTTAAAATATTATCTTATTTGTATTTTTATATTATTGAAGTTACTTATATGTTTTTTTTATGAATTCAATGATATTTATGTTATATATTTTTATATATTTATTTTTGAAATAATTAGTTTGAACTTATTAAATTTCATTAGTTTAAAAGATTTTGAAGATTTTATAATTACGAATTCTTGTACGGATATATGCATGTGTGAATACTTAAAAATAATAATATTTCATAAGAAAGCACGAACTAATTTATCTCAGTGATTAAAAGGAATAGTTGTAGTTCTCAGAGGTTATGGGTTTGAGCATTATTGATTGTAGTAGGGTCAGGGCCGGCCTTGGGCATAGGCCAGGGGGCAACCGCCTAGGGTCCCAAATTTGGAGGGGCCTATTTTTTAAAATTATTTTTAAGTTTAATAATTAAAAAATATTTTTAAACATACTTTTTTATTTTAAATACTTGAAAATATGGTAACTTAGTGGGTCCTAATAATTAAAAAATATTTTTAAACATCATTTTTTGTTTAAAAAACTCAAAGATATAGTAATTTAGTGGGGCCCCATTTTAATGATGGAGAAATCTAAGTATGGGCCCCTACTTGTCTTCTTGTCATCACCTTTTGGCCTAGGACCCTTAAAATGTCAGGACCGGGCCTGAGTAGGGTGATTAAGCGTTGACATTTAATTGAACGTTCATTGTCAAATGATTGAGAGTATTTAGAACATATATTATATCTACTATAATCATCTAAACTATTAGAAAAGTTTTTTTAAAACTATTAAAAAAAGTATTTATTAAAAAAAATATTTTCTATATTATATTTAATAATTAAAAAAATAATTGGTGGACCAAGGCTCCCCTTGCCCCCATCTTGGTTCCGCCCGAGTATTGATAATGAATACTTTATTATCGACATTAAATTTAGCTATTGGATTTTTTTTATAGAATATACAACATCGATACTTGAAATTCAATATTGACGTCGTTCATTCATTATCGATAATGAGTAGTATCAGTGTTACATGCGTAGAAATACATAATATTACATCATTTTGTTTTAAAACATAACTAAAATACTCCCAAACACGTTCGTCTATATCAAATCGAATTAAATGCAACTTATTTGAGCGCTTCACTAATAATAAAAATGATCACGAAAACATACTCATTGCAACAAATTTATCATTAGAACATGCTTAGGTTCTTAACATGCAATTGTGTTGTCTAGAGTTGGTTAATATGCTCGATTTACTTCTAAAAGTGTAAGAATATGCCTAAGTGTTTCTCCCATGTACATGTAGTTACTTGCCGGAGTTGGTATTAATTGGTCGGAGTTACCTTACGCAACCATACTTCCTGATAACAGATTCTTTTGTTAAGTATTGAAAACATAATATGGTTAATATTAGGCTCGATTTGCTTCTAAAAGTGTAAGAATATGCCCAAGTGTTTCTCCCATGTGAATCTTTCTAGCTAGTCTATTCTCTAAGCTTTTTTTTTTCTTTTCTTCTTTTCCTCAAGTAGTCGACAACAAAATCTCCAAGCTTTTGCCTATCTTAAAGGTGACAAAAACAAACGAAAACAACCATTTTTTATCACTGCAAACCGCGTAAACTCTCAACCTTTCTTTAAGCACTAATTAAACCCTAGAAAAGTTCACTTCATGTATTTCTTACAAGCAACTCTTGGTTCCAAACTTTACGTAGTTGGTGACGACTTCCGAGACAAAACAAAATCAGTTTTAGGATAAATTATTTTATAGTTTCGGCTCACCATGTCATCTATGATTCTAGTGAATCACATTCATCAATTTTAAAATAATTGTTCAGTCTTTATTTAAACGTAAGAAAGTGGTGAACATTTATTTAGAAAAAAAATGAGATAGAAAAATATTGTTGATTGAGATCATAGATGATGTGGTGAGCCGGATCCTTTTAATAATTTTTTCAGTTTTAGCTTTAATTCGCATCTAAATCTCCACAATCTTATACTTTTGGTTGGAAAATGTAATACGCGTGCGTAAAAGAATGAACTAAAAGATAAAGTTTTTTATAATTATATATATGTAATTTATGATCATCCATGTTTGTAACGTGAAAACCTAAATACACTGCATGCAAATCCCACACGGACTGAGTGCAGTTTCTCTCTTTGCCTACAAATTAAGAAATAACTTAAAGAATCGTTATATAATTTCAATGTGAACTATCGACAATGTGTTCACACTAGCTAAAAATTTATGGCTTAAATAGCTTCATCGTTCGTCTTGTTCCCGGTCATGGACGGATCGGAACGACAGCCGGGAAATCCATTTCTCGATATGGGACTCTTTTCTTAAGTTTCTCAACTCTTGGTGGCTCTTGTTTTTACTGTTAGTCTTTGAATTAACGAAGGGTTTTAGCCTTTGCATGGCGAGTTTCAGGGTATCTTCCGACATGTTAGCGAAGCAGACTCGGAACCAACCCGGTTCACTGCAATGGCACGAAGAACCGGGAGAAATGTTCAGTTTGACATCGTAAACTATTCTTTCCCACAGCTCCATTTCGGCTTCGAATGTGTTGGTGCTCAAAAGGTGCCTCATATCGACCCAACAGAACAGCCCGGCATTGCTGTCTAAGCAGCCGATGCCGGCTTTTTCGAGGCCGGAAACCAACTTCCTCTGTCTCTTTTGAAGCCTCTTCCGGTTTTTGGCAGTGTAATAGTTCCTGAATTTCTTGTCGGATAACATGACCGAGAGAAGATACTGGGTTTGTGACGAAACTAGGCCAAAACTGGACATTTTTGTGGCGGCGGATACAACAGTGGGATCGTTGGAGTAAATTGCCCCAACTCGAAAACCAGAGAGACCCAGATCCTTGGAAAGACTATAAACAATATGAACTCTATCCCAGACCTTGGTTTTCTCGAGGTTTCTGTCTTTCAAAACTTCCATTATACTTACGAAGCCTGGGGAGCTAAAAACAGTTCCCGAGTATATCTCGTCGCTTATTAAATGAATTTCTTTGTCAGTAATAAATTTGATGAGAAGGTCCAGTTCGGCTCTTTTCATGGTTGTGCCCAATGGATTTGAAGGGTTGGAGATTAAGATCCCTTTCACCCTTAGGTTCTGTTTTCCTGCATGCTGATAAGCTTCTTCAATGGCGGATGCAGTGATTTGAAAATGGTTGGAGCTTGTACAGTGGATTGGTACAATCTCAACACCAGTTCTCCACTTGAGATCTCTATCAAATCTGTGGATTATACATCATTTATTAGAACGTGTTTGATTTTATGTAGAAAATCAAGCACTTTTTTTTTTTCGTTGTTAGTAATTATATTTATAACATACCCCGGGTAATATGGTGTAGGAAGAAGAAAAGCGTCGCGTTGTTCGGCGAGGCAAAACATGAGCGTTTCATTGGAGGAAGTTGCACCGGCGGTGAGTACTATGTGATTGGGATCAAAACTTACTTTGGTTCCTCTGATTTCAGCCATGAAATCAACCAAGGCCTGTCGATAATACAAGATCATTTCATGACAGTTTTTTATGTTATGAAATGATAGATTGTTTTTGTGAGATTTTTAAGCCTACCTTTTTGAATTCAGGAAGGCCATGATAATCCTGGAAAAGAGCAAGCTCTCTGAAAATGGATTTCCCATCTCTCTTGCACCCAACAGCGTCTGGATTTTTGGCCAGCCATGACTCGAGAATATCAAATGAGAGCTGCAAAAATAAACCCCCCAAAAAAACTTGAAAAATTGCATCTTTAACAGTTACAAGCTAATACATAAGAAAGGCGAATCCATTTTCTGGGGTTTTGATGGTTACCTGATTCTCTGCAAGACCCATTTGAATGATTCCCTGAGGGTTATCGAGTTGATGGTAAGGGTTTTTCTCGTATTCCTGCCATCCTAGGAAGTAAGAAGAATCTTGACCATGAGAGTTGCACGTGGCTTTTCTTGACAACAACCCCATTTTCTCTTCACAAAAAGAAGCAAATGATAGCTTTGAGTTTGTTGTTGAAAATACAGAAAATTTCCTTCGATTGCTGTTGTTAATGGCGATCGATATTTGGCCTGCCCATTGGGTATATATATATATAAGTCTAAAGTAAATTTAAAATATTTCAGAAATATTTATTAAATTAGAAAACTAAAAGTCAATGCTGACTTGGGAGATCTATATGTTCCCTTTCCCGTCTTCCCAGCCAACCCAATGTCGGCCACTTTGATTAATCTCCCTCACTAACCAACTTTACTTTTATTTTTTTTAATAATCTTTAAGAAAATTTTTATTTATATCAACTAGGGTCGGTTCAAGTGATAAATATCTTTATATTGTGGAAACAGGTATTTAGTTTAAGTCTTTATACATGTAGAAAATCTCTATTAAAAGACTCATTCATTAAAATCAGATATGTGATTTGGATCGATCTAAATTAACGAATACTTACTTTTATTTTTTTTATAACGTATTTTGATCATAAATTGAAGACATTAACCACATGGACGGTGGAGATTGGTACTACAAATCTATGTTCCTCAATGATAAAGCTAAATAAATAGAAGGGATAGGCGTAGATTCGTTGGATTTGATTACAACATATTTTCGTAATATTTACAATTAAATTATCACATAAATAGTTAAAATTTAATACAACAAAAAATGTATTAAATATAGTGAAGAAAACGTTTTATAAGAAAGATAATATCATTACGTTTTTTTAAACACTGATATTTTTTCAACAAAAATAAAACATTGATATTTAATTTGTTAGTCAATTAATTTATGTGTGCGATACGGGTTGATCTGCATTAATCAAGACAAAACTTAAAACCGGAAAGCCAACTAAAAAATTAAACCTTAAAATTCTATGATGAAAATATATCTATTCAAAAATAATTTTTAACCTTTTATTATTGAACGATCATCCCGTAGTATCTATGGTGATCGAACTCAAATCATCAAAAAAATAATAATAATTCTTTTATCATGGAGGCCATTCGATTTGTGTCTAACGAAGTAAATATATAAATTATTATAGACCGAAGCAGGGGATAGTTATTCGTTTCAGTATATTATTTGTTTTGCTGTAAATGAAACCGACATTATACCCTTGACAAGTTGTACAAAGGTAAAATCAAATTTTGTCTTATCATGTCTTGCCGATCGTTCCTTTGAAATTCGATTTACAATCAGTGTTTCTCCCTTTCCATGTTAGGACTTCAAATTCTGCTTTTAGTTATCTGAGTGATGAAAGATAATAGGGTAAATTACATGTTTAGTACCTTAATTATTTTTTGTCTCATCTCGGTCACCTAACTATTATTTTTTTCAAAATCATACTTAACATTACATTTTGATTTTATTTTAATCATTTGTCGTTAAAAAGTAATAAAATTGTTGATGTGACGTTTAAAAACTCCAATGATGACATTATCGTTGATTTTTTAACTGTAGGTGACCGAAATAAAATAAAAAATGTTGGGTATGATTTTGAAACAAAAAATAATCCCATGACTAAAATGGAACAAAAGTGATAGTTTGGACATAGTTTAAGAAGGACCATGTGGGGTGTTGGAGTACACTCGCATTTTCATATATTTATATAGTTTATGTATTCTTTTTATTTTTTCTATTGATGTTCTAATTTTATACCTAAAATTTTTAATATAAAATTTTAAATTTGTATCCCTGATATAAATTCTAGTATAAATTTGTGTCTGTTCTAATGGTTTTGAAGAAGGCCACATGGTTTTGTTGTAGGAGAAGGGTTATTAGGGCATGCCGGCATGTGAAAGTGAAAACCCTAGCTTGCATGTCCCCACTAGGAGCCATCAACAAGTGGCAGCAAGACCCCATTTCTAATTTTCTATACATAAAGAATGTAGTTCCCGACTGGAAGGCACCAGAGGTGAACCCTAATTGGCTAGCCAAATGGTAAGTCTAAAGCCTTCCATCGGTGAGACGGTGACAAGTAACATGACTTTGCGTTTTAGTCAATGGACCAATCGCACCATTTGTGTAACCTTTTCCACAATAACGTAGGCCCCTCTCCAATCCCCCATGAGTCATACCTTTGTGTCTTCTTTAGGACAATGATGCCTTGACGTAGGTAAAAATCCAATATTGAAATAGTTAAACAACAACATAACACGTATACAATTATCAACCGGACAAATATCATAAAGGTAATGATAAAAAAAACCCATTTTGATTAAAGTCTTGGAATGGAAGAAAGACAATAGTTTTTCTAAAGGAAATAAGGAATACAAGTCGTGGAAACATTGAACTACGTAAAATTTTCAAAGATGGGATGTTGGACTTTTTCGTGTGTGATTGAAGGGATATGGATTTTTAGGATGTTTGTAGGAATTCTAGGTCAAATTTGCATGGAGATTTATGTATAAATAGATTAACTTGATATTAGGTATTGTTGTATTCAAATTCGTTTTCTTGAAGCTTAAAAGTGGCTTGGACGGTTCTTATCCAAATTGGTTCCAAAATTTACGAAAATCTTGGTGTTCAAGCGATGTGATGGTTATGTTTTCCTGGGCCAAATTAACTTTACGAGTACGGAGTATATGGAACTGTGTAATTCAAATGAAGTGTTATTATCGCTATAAGATTTAGATTTGATAAATTTTGTGTGTAGAATGTACGTGCGTTATCAATGATTAAAGGTTTTTTGAATAAATAATTCATTATAAATTTATAATCACCACGTACCACTTTAAAATAAACAAAAGGAAAAATAGAACTTAAATCTAGCTAAAATCTTGATCCATTATATCAAATTAGACAAACCTGAAATTGAAGTTAGGTTTCGTATAGGCCATGGACCCAGTACGAATGAAGAGAGTCGATGTGTAGTAATTATAAATCCAAGTGGGTCGAGATGTTTGTAGAATGTGATCATGGAGTGTACCTTAGTCTCATACATTAGAGGGGTCTCTGAGTAGCAGTGAGCCTGTTCTTTTATTAATAATTTGGGCGAAGTGGTTTCATATGAAAACAATGACAGGCAGGGCAGGCGGTTTGCCCCGCTTGATCGGTCCATAGAGATTCGATTGTCTCCGCCCTGGCTTGAAAGTGATTGTTTGATTTTGTTACCCCACTATCGAATCCATGCTATTAGACGTAAAATTTTATTTTATATTATGGATGAACTTGAACTTATAAAATTTTAGGGACAAATTTAAACTTATAAAATTTTAAGGGAGTGAAAGTAAACATTCAATAAAAATATATTAAAAAATCTAAAATATATGATAATTTAAACCTTGCCTAGATACATCCTTGCATGCTATGCCTCAAATGAAATCACCTCGTGGAGATTAGACGTTGCTGTTCCAAATACACATTATGATGGGGATTTCTTCTTCTTCATTATTATTTGTTTCTTGATTACTTATCATATTATTGAGACTGTTACATTATCGTATTTGATTGACTTGATTAGAATAAAAAAACTTACTGATTAATTGATGAAATATTAGGTTATTTAAAGAAATGTTATTGTCCTTGTTAGGGGTGTTTAATGAGTTGAACGGCTTGTAAGTTGTTTAAACTCGGCTCGATTAACGGTAGATTCGAGTTGACTTGACTCAGACCTTAACGAGTCGAATAAAGTCTAACTTGACTTGATAAGTTCGCCAACAGTTCGTTAACTTTTTCTTATAATTTTAAAATAGTTATGTAAAAAAAGTATTCTGATAAAAAAATGTAATTGATAATTACTAATTTGCTAATACATCATAAGTAAGATGCTAAATTATTAATTAATAATTAGAACTAATTTATTAATTTTCTAATAAACAATAAGAAATATACTAAATTATTAATTTACTAAAATTTACATATATTTAAAAAATAATATAACCATCAACAAGTCAAGCAAAATTTTATCGAGACTAACAAGCAACAAGTCAAGCTGAGCAACAATTTTTTAAATGAATACGAGTCGAACACTACTTAACTTACGATCGCTCGATAAGTACCCCTAGTCCTGGTAGAGTTTATTTTCTTTTAACAAGTTTACTGTACAATGAAACCAGCGGGTGGAACTTGCATTATCAGAAGAGAAAATTACAAGTAATACAGCTAGGGAGGAATGTACAATAATTTAATTTATAACATCTCTAACTTTGGTATATGAAATTTTGATTATTTTCTAAAAATTACCAGTCTGCAACTATAAACTCTACTAATGGTAAGCTAGATCGATTTCCAGATTCAGAAAACTAAAAGTAAATAATGCATGTGAAACAAATAAGTGTTATTTTCCCAATCAATTGAATTAATAAATATGAAACCTGTAATGTTTGGGGAACTAACACCAGTGATATCAACATCTCTTCACCAAATTTAGTGTATACACGTAATCTGGGAGCAGATGATATCTTTTACTTCACCTTCAAAGCATGACAAAACGTAAGTAATGAAAATTTGACCTTGATGAATTTCTCTCTGTATCAGTGATATGGTTTTAGGTGGAACACTTGACAAGCTGGTAGGAATGAACTCTTTGATGCAGCCTGCTCAAACTTCTTAGTCACAGCTTCATTTCCTTGTAAACTAATTTGGTCGAAAAATCGAACCCACCAAGTGGAACTCCGCATTTTAGCCTTCACATACAGGGCATATATGTTACTCATAAGGTCAACAAGGCACATTAATGTTAGAGTTTGGTGAAATAATTCAGAAACAAGGACCACGGCAGGAACAGGTGGAAAAACCATATGAACTACAACCAAACCTTTTTGATATCCTACTCGGATTAAACTTCAAATTTTGTTCCCGGTTGATAATTTTTTAAAGATATAAACCGAAACCCGATCTTTTTCTCTTTCTAGCTGAATATTTTAGACTACTTAAAGTTCCAACTATTTGAAATAAAATCTCATCAATACTTTATTTTGTAATTGAAAGTCTCAACAATCGACATGAATATGATAATATCCAACAAATTTGATCTTGATTCATTCCCTGAAACAATAATGCTAAGTGACATTTTGATGAATGTTAAAAGATAGAATAAGGCTTATTTCAATTAAGAATCCCATTGTTATAAGTAGTAGGGACTTACTGGCCGCCCAAATTTGGATAATTCTGCCACTTCAGCCTTCTGATGACCAGGGGAACCTGATCAACAAAATGAAAGCAATTAAAATTCGAATATACCAAAAGAAAGGATCAAATATGTTAAGGGGTCAAAGCTCTGCCTCTGATGGATCTCCGAACTTGATTAAGAAAACCAAGAGACAATGTACAATATCCATCTAAAAATTTCTGACAGCTGCAACTATAACTTCTAGGAAAGTTTCTAAATGGTATAACTTCTCTGGACTGGTAATTAAGTGCTACTATAATGAAGAATTGTCTAGCATCTACCTAGTTATAATAATTCATATACATTTAGTGCCGACAGGTGTAGGTGTCTGGATGGTGTAACAAGTCATGGAAGAAAAGGAAAGATCAAAAAGTTTCAACATATGAACTTTTCTTGGAAGGCCATGGAGATTACTCATGCAGTGTTACAGAGACAGATGTCAGTATGTGACTATAACTTCCCCAGAGACAATTTTCATTTACAAAACAGTTATTTCATGAGCAAATATATGTGGGTATAAGCATTTTCACTTCCTGAGTAACTCTTAATTTTAAAATTTATAAGTAACTCGAAAGAGGATTTACCTGCAAAAATAACAAGACCATCAGAGGCAAGCCTTGCGAACTCAGGCAGAGTTTTGTTCAGATATTTTGGAGACAAGTAATCAATAGCATCTGACACAATAACAATAGAAAAAGACTTTGACCTATACGGAAGAGGGAACTTGATATCTGCCACACGTACAATGCCTTTTCCCACAAGACTCTTGCAATCTGCTTCAACATCCTCTATGTCATATGGTTCCACACCCCAGGCTTCAGTTCCCTCTTCTTTCAAAAGTTTGGAGACCACCAAACAGGTATCAGGGCCCATATGCAAAACCTTGTGCATGTTGTCACCATATGCCTTCTTCAAAAATGGTATTGCCTTCTGAACTTCTAATGTGCATGTATAGTCGCCTACAAAGGTAACAAAAAATTCATTGATTTTTGGACTGTAACACTCGTTGAAAATATACCCTTATCCAGAGCAAGGGGCAATTTGATTATAACCAAACTTCAAATGGTCCAGTTATCACAGAACACTCATACCATATTTGACTAATGTCACTACCACCAATAAATGATAATCCATATAATTCCTCGGGCCATAATTAAATGGAATGGAGGGGACTAATTTTTGGATCCTACCTTATCTTTCAACTTTCCTTCCTCCAAAAAGACTGAAGGAGAGGATCATGACACTAGGTAATAGATTATTCTATGGAATAAGAATCAAAGGAAAGAAAGCCCCATAACAATGAAATGCAGGAGCAAGGCCTCTAAGATCATTTTCCCCCAAAACACTCTCCAATGAATCTAAAAAAAAAACAGAACTTATATATATGCTTTAAGAAACACATGTCCATTGAATCTTAACTGAATTTTATTTAACAGGTGAACTCGCCTTCGCTTGTTGTACAACTAACTGTCAAACATGTCCAAATCCACTCTCCGGAACTTAGCATTAGTGAATCCGATAGATATTCAAGTAGCTCGAGAGAGTCGTCATCAATACAGAATACTCACGAAAATCAAATGAAAAACAGTAACTTGACAAGTTAATTTCATTGTGAACATCAAATCCGATGAGGAAGAAAGTAAAACATAACTCACCTTGGAGCCTACTAACAACTCGGGATTTACCTGTATCCACCCAAAATGAACATTGTGGTCAATTAGCTGAGCCAATGAAATTAGAATATTGAACAACAAAACAAGTAAGCCAAAACAAGAAACTTCACTAATGTGAAGAATACCCGAGCCACTATAGACGTAGCCAATAAGAAGGATAGCTCCCTGGAAGTTGATTTTTCAATAACAAAAAATTGAGGATAAATTATTAGATCAATTATTATTTTTAAATAAATAAATAAAAAAGAAGGAATGAGATAGATGTACCACAATGAAAAGACCAATAGATAAAATGGGAGAAGATCGGGATTTAGATTGTAAGGCACCAGCGAAGGGGAAGTTTCCGCTGTCGACAAAGCGGCGCGTGGTACTTACTTGCCTTCTTGACATGTTATTCCTGTATCGAGAAAATAACAGATTCAAACAGAATGTGAACCTTTTTCATTGAAACAAAAAAAAATCATCGCCAAACAAACAAAACGAGAAATGAAAAGCAGATCCAAATCATAAGAAAGCTTTCGAATGTAAGATAAAATGGAAAATTCACCTTAGAGGAGAGAAATGAGAAAATTGGATTTTGGATCTTAGATCTGTGGAAGAAGAAATAGTAAAAGAAGACACCCTTCTAGTGCGAACACTATTCTCAGTTTGGATTTTTTTATTTATTTATGCTAAAAAGGAAAATTATTTACAACTCGATGAGTTTGAAAAGGAATTGGATTAGTAACTCAGTGCCAGTACTTTTATTCTCACTATTTCTAGCTTTGGTTTTTTTAAATGGATAATATACTAAAAGATGATGGGCTATCGTGCGATACTTTAATATTAGATTAAAATAAAGTATTATTAATTTTATTATTATTTAAATAATAAAATCAGTAAAAAATATTTAAAATATTATTATTTTATCTAAAACATTAATTTTTTAATATTTCTAGTAAAAGTGTCTAATAGTAATAAAATCGTAGAAAAAATAATAAAATCGGTAGCGCTTTATCAAATACGATAAAGCATCCAATAATAACAAAATTGGTAGAAAAAATAATATTTCTGATAATTTTTTTATCGATTTTTTTATTTAAATAATAACAAAACCGGTAGCGCATATTTTAGCCGGATATTAAAGCTGCCGCACATCATTTCCCACTAAAAGAAGAACAAAATGGCTGAATAAATAGTGTGGGAACAAATTCTCAATATAATTCATCTTCGAGATTATTTCTCTATTTAGGATAAATTGTATAATATCAACTTAAATACGTCAGGTGCTCCACGCGTCTTTAAGCTAAATAAGAAGACTCTATTCAGGCAAATGAAGAAAATCCCATAATTACATGACGTCTTCAAACAAATAAATAAAACTACATGAGTACAGTGTGTCTTTAACTAATAAAAAACCCTAGTTCAAAAAATAATATAATAGATATCTTATATGGGAAAATCATTTTTCCAACGATCTTATACAAGCGAGGAAGCCCTAAAAAAGTCCTCAAACTACAACATCATATTTAAATAAGACTATTAAAAATATTTAAATAAGCCCTCATATTTATTTTTTTAGTTGAATAATCCCCTAATACATGGGTTGTACCCATTACAACCCTTAATCTAGTTGGCACTTTTCTATGCTCACGTCGAGCATGAGGTAACAAAATAATAAGGCAAGATAAATTAAATTTTATTTCTTTTATGGATTCACACGTCACAATTTTATTGAATACAAAGATGTAATTTAAGTCATAACTGAACACTAAAATTATGTGATTAAAATCATTACTTCAATCAAAATTATTTAAGAAATCAGTTTTCAGAAAGGATTAGTGAATTATATAGTCAGTTTAAATAAAACTTTCATATTATTAAATATAATACTAAAAAATTGACCAAAATATTTAATAATTAAAATTTAAGTGTACGAATAGAGATATTTGAGTTGTCAATGAATTGTTGTTTTCCTTTAAGATTTTGAATTTGAGCATTATGTAGGCAAAAGATTAAACGTTCATTGTCACGGATTTTAACACCATCTAAGGGTTTTTTTAGATTAAAAGGTGGTATTTATATTAACCATGATCTGTGAAAATTACTGGGTGTGACCCTAGACTTACTATGGTTCACAAAACAGTCTTCCATCTTTAATCTGCATTCAAAATAGTCCTAAATTCCTAATTTCAATACTAGACTTTGAATTCATTTAATTTAGTCCTTAATAATTCTGATTTCAATTCAGTTGAGCTCCCAAACTTTGGAATTTTGACAATTAAGTCTTCTAAAGTTAAAATTACCCTTAAATTAGCAAAATTAACTCCCGAAAATTTCTAACCTCGAAATTAGAGTGTGACAATAATCTTCTAAATTTATGAAAATACTCGTAAAAAGTTCAGCATACCCATATTCGAGCTCAGTCGTATTAAAGTAACATATAGGAGTATTATCCATTAAAATTTCCTTTAATATTTGTGCTGGGAGTGGTAGGGTTCTTGAGTCAATGCCTTTATATGACATATTAAATGATTTTCAAAAAGGACAGTCACATGGCTGTTGTTGTAAAGCAAAACAACAAAACAGTGCATACAATCGATGAACCCTCAAACAAAGAAGTGAAGGTGGACATCGATGGCGAAAAGCATCGACCACAATTATGCTCACCGAGCAAAAGATGATCAGCACTGAAGAAATGGAATATCTTGGATGGAAAATCACAGTGTCCTCCAAAAGCAAGAAATGGGCAAGGGAATTTGATTCGGAAATACTACAAATCAACGATGATTCACTCCCAATGACCACCTGAGAAGGGGAGGCAATCGACATAATAACACAGGAAGATGTCGTTGGAGAGCTTTGTAAGTAAGTTAACCATTTTTGCATCAATAAGATCTCAAAGAAGAAATGCAGGAGATATTTGATGACACAGATCATCGCCATGAACAACTAATGATATCTCCATACATAAAACACAAGCCTAAGGAGGATTTGATTATACATAAAGTACATTAAAATCTTAAGGTTTGACCATTGGAAGGAAGAACTTTGAACTCTATTATCAAGGTCTGTCAATAATAATGACTGCTAAAGTCGGGCAATGTAACTAGTGAATTCGATAACAAACACACTGCAATGCTGCATAGCAGAATACAAAGGATTTCCAAGGTATTGAAATTTCCTGTGGACGTTTATTTCATTATGTAAAAATAGTCAAGTTCAATCCAATAAACCAGGCTGTCTATTTAATAAAATACAATAAACATACCACATAGTTAAACACAATTAGCATCACACGAAGATACACCTTGCATACAAGGATTGCAAAGTCTAATCTAGAGTGTTGGTTGCCCCCGGAATGAACTTGATCGATTTTTGAATTTTATCTACCCAAGTGGATGAATAAAAGGAAATTCTTCATTCCATTATGAAAAGACCCAGGTATTAATATTATAGCCCATCTTTAGAACATTTCATTTATAACAAAAGTTATTTCCCACCATTTGTTGAGAGAATCAAAAGAAGAGACAGTACTGTTTGATCTTGAACTATGAGACTTACAGAAGGAAGTTTGCAAAGTCACAGTCTCCTTGTTGAGCTGTTTCACCAACAAAATTAATGGAGCTCAGCAAAATGGTCAAAGAGGAATTATCGTGTGGGGGAAATAGGACTGCAGGTTTCTGGAAGGAAAACAAAGTTAATGATTAGAAAGTTGACATTTTTCTAGAAGGAACATTCAAAATACACCACAATAATCTTCATGTACTAAACGAATTTGTTCATTATTATCATATTTAGTATGTCGGATTTCTAGTCATTCGTCTCGATAAATTATATATTTGATTTAAAGAAAATTTTAAAATGAATGTCATATATATTGATATGTATTATTAATGTCATATATTGATATATACTATTATTTTCTATATATAATTTAAAATATAATTAATCTTATTTCAAATAAAATTTTAATTATTATAAAATTTTAACTCTCACCCTTTTCATCTATTTTTACAGACAATTTTGGCCATTGGGATCCGTCTTTCTACTAAATTGACTGGTTACCAGCATTTGACATGGATGATAGTTTGAAGACAGATCGTCCGTTTCAAACATTGTAAGGATATTGATATTTTAATCCGTTTTCAAATGACTGATGTGTTACTTTGTTCTTGTTTCAATAAACCCTTCACTAGTAAACTGATAGCTTTAGAACATGTTCTTTAGTTTCACAACAAGGAATCCTTGTAATGTTTTCAGACTGTAGCATACATATGTACAAACTAAATATACATACGTATTCAAAGCCAATGTAACCATAGCTCATAATAATAGTTATGGTTTACATCATAAAACTCCAATCTCTACAGCTGAAAAAAAACAAAGTAATGAAATGGCCATGATCTCTACCCCTATTTAGATGATTGTTCCCAGAGGACCATCACTGTTGACAACATACACTAATGATATATAATTTGATATGATAGACTGTGAATTTACTGGACATGAATGTTATCGCATCAGCACGTATTATCCAATTTCGACATAGTTTTATGTACAAAACACGTAGTTTCCAGAGCTTTAGCTCAAACTGAAGAAATCATACACAATGTATTAACATGAACACAAGGAAGACGGGTCTAGAACACAGATATCGCAAAGCTTATTGGTTCACATGATTTCTTCGATATCAAGCCAATCATTTGATTCCTTGATTTCGGGGTTATGAGCATTTACCTGCTCAGACCCAGAGTGTTCATTACCAACACACTTAACATCTTTAACTGAGTCTGTAGAGCTCCTACCGAGCTGAACCCAATCTCTCGAGTCTTTTGTTGAAGAATCAGAACCAGATGTCATTTTTTTGTAACTTATAGGCACATCATCATCATCATCATCCTCAAGATCACTGAATGAAACTTCCTCATCATTTCCAAGAGGGACTGTGGCAGAACTTGTGCCAAATGCCTCCGAAGTTTCCTCTTTTAACCAGTCATCAGCGTCATCTTCATATTTCTCAATAGAAACTACAGAAGAACCAGATGTCGAATGTTGATGTTCGGCTTCTTTTATTGACACTTCCTCGATCACAGACTTGTCAACAACCTGCACCTCAGTACTCTGAACAAGGTGCTTTTCTGTTGGAATTTCAACAGCTACAGAAGTAGTGGCTACCTCAGTTTCAGATTCCTTGAATAGCATAGGCTTAGATTGAGCGGGAGAAGGCTCAAAAAGAGACTCTTCATGTGGTAAATCAGCCGCTATATTTGCAGTGCCACTTTCATGATGATCTTCTGCAGTCTTAGCCTTTTCTGGGTGCTGCATCCCTTGCATGAGCATTGCTCTTGCTTCAACTATCTGCATGAAGAACAGTTAACAGTTTGAAATGCAGAAAGGTAAAGTGGACGTGAGACGTGAAGGAAGGTGGATCACAGAGAAAAGCACAAACAATCATTCCTTCATTCCATATTAATATTTTCAGGACAAGGGTTAAAAATTGGGTTATATTTTAAGGAAATGACGTGCTTAATGGATAAGAATGTTGGTAGAAAGAGAAACAAGATATCTGAAAAGAAACTGAGATTAGACAAAGATAGCCACTCCGAGAAAATGTCAGGATGATTGTGAGAATTGATGAAAAATGACATTCAAGTCTGAAAAGGCATGCATAGAACTCGATGAGCTTCTATCTCCGGGTGCACTTAAGAATTTTGAGCATTAATTACTTTGTTAATATCAGTTTTATTCTCATTGTCATACCTGTGGCAGATGAAATTCCTTTAGTGAACCCTCAAGAACATAATACCCAACACCTTGGACAGCAATATATTACGGAATAAACAGATGAAAAGGAAAAAAGACCTTCGAACTTACCTGGGGAGTAGAGAGTAGTTCTGCATCATGTTTATTTAGTCGAGGAAGCAGAAGTAAAAAATAGATTTTCCAAAAGCAACCCTCACTCATAAATCCTGGGCAAAATTCAATCCTAAGAGCAGTCAATCTTGGTGCAAGATGTTCAACAGCTAAGGCATGTTCTTCTTGCTCGTCAGACATGTCAAAATCTGACATTTCAAAACAATAGAAGGATGCTAGAAGTTAGCCAGATTTATACTGTGCATATACACACAACATCCCTTTGGGAAAACCAAATGGCAAAGCAGGGATACTCAAATATTCCATTATATGCAGTTTTAGACAATACACCAAAATATTCAAACAGTTTCTCAACAGCCTCATTTTCACAATATGCCTTTTTTGCCATGTATGTCATCCATATGCAAGGAAAAAAAATGTGATTCAACCAATACTTAGATAACTAAAAACTTCACACCTATAAGTTTTTTTGCACTGAACAACAGAAATTTTCAACTTTGACCGAATGAGAAACCACAATGCAAAAAGCAATTGAAAGATCCTTCGAAGCAACCATAAAGGATTAAAACGTAACTTCATTTTATTGTCGACTGATTTCAAAAGATTGATACCATTCCATACTCAATGATCAATTATCAACTATGCATTCAAAATTCAGCAATCATAGTCAATTGAAAAAAATTAAAATTTCAAAAAAAAAATCCAAATAAAAACAAAAACAGAAGGTACCAATGAAGGAATAAGAAATGAGCTTGTTTGAAATGCGACTTGATCTAATTTAATATAATTAAAGCACGATAATTAATTAAAATTAGAAATGAAGTAAACTACCATCAAAATCACCATTATCGGGAATGGGAAAATCAAGCCAAGTTTCTGGATGCATCGCGATATCCCTAGCGAAAGCGATCACTTCATCGGTCACACCGACAGCGTTTACACTGGCGTATTTTCCAAGACCCTCTTCCTCGGATCCAAACTGAAGGAAATTTGAAGCGATCTTAGTGAACTCAGAGACGTTAATATTGCTAGACAGCTGCGATATTCCAGTCTTGAATTTCCCACCAATCTCCGACAAATCACTACGGATTCCAGCTATCAATGCCTCATCGGACAAATCGTCCGGATCATTAGACGGAGACCTGATAGATTTGGCTTCCTCCACCGGATGATCGGGCTGTTGGTCCGGTGAATCAGGAGGAGGCGGAGCGAGGAAGGAAGCGACGCCCCAGAATTGGCGGGATAGGGTTTTGGTGAGCTCGGATAGGTCATCTTTGACGCCACGTGGAGTGTTGGGATCCGATGGTGAATGGGAATTGGAAGGAGAGGCTTGGTTGGGATCTGGATCGAATTCGGATTTCGGATTCACAGCAGGATTGGTGTCATCGTCGACGTCTTCGTCAAGCTTGAGCGAGTTAGCAATCGATCTAGCTAACCACGACATTTGTTTTCTTCGACTTTTTTTTAATGATTTTCTCCTTAAATTTGTGCTGTAATTATATTTGTATACTTGGAATAGTTTATTAAAAGGATGATAATGGGTAGAGATGGGGGAGAGGTAAGCTCCAAACGACAGCGTTCTAGTCCTCTCGCGTATACTGGCAGTTTATCCTGTGCCATTTTTCTAGAAAAATAGTATAATTTGATCGATTTTTTATAATACAGAAAAAGAAATATTGTTTTCTAAATAGTTTTTTTTTGGCACTAAAAGATGAATTAAAATCATTATAATATTTTAAATCTGATATATTTAATCAAAAAAAAATCTGATATAAATTCTTTTTGAAAATTTAAGCATTACTTATTTCATAAATCAATATCTCCGATTGCAATAAATATATATATAAAAAATGTTAGGATCCACTTACACACCTAGTATAAAACTAAAAAAATTATATTCTTCTAGAATCGTTAAATGAGAGAAAATCAAAAGTTGAGATGTTGGATTAAAATCCATAATTATGGGTACGTATTTATAATATATATTCTTATCATAAAATATGACATTAATTAAGTGACCAATTATGTTATAAAGTCATAAAGTATTAGAAGTGTCATGGAAATAAAAGTATAGATACTATTTAAGTTGTATTTATAATTCGATGAGGGACAGAGTTATGAGTACATATAATAATTTATTATTAAATCAACTATATAAAAGGGTTATAGTCCCCAATAAATAGATATTATTGTATTTACTCGTATCCTCGTTAGACAGTTATATGTAAGAGAACTATATCTTCTTGAAAGATCACAACTAAAGAAAGACTCAATGATTTCAACCTATCAATTAATTCAGGTACGTTTCCGCTAATCTAGTAATTATTTTATTCTTGATGATTTAGCATGATTAGATCCTGGTTATGTTCATATTTAATATGATTTAATTCTAACACGAGATTAATTCTTTGTTTTTTTCACTGAATATCTTCTCATTTCTAATTGTTAATTTCATCCTTTGATTTTATCTCATCCAACGATTCCAAAAAGGTGTAAATTTTTTTTAATTTTATATTATATAATTGGATCCTAGCCTTTATATATTTTGACATTATTTTAAAGTAATATGCGGGCTATTACTTTTATTTTCATGCAACAACTACGAAATGGTTAGAGGTTGACGCTAGTGTCACGGACCGCGAGCCCATGACTGAGGTCACCACACAACAAGCAGCCCAAGACTACCTCACCAACGTCCTGGGCTTACCAATTCCATTCAGGCTAGCACGTTCCATGGAGATAAAGAACATCGCACGTTTATGACAAGTAAATCCTTTGTTTAATGCTTGATTCCTTTGGTTTCATTCCATAAACTTTGTAATCTTCTATCTAAGGCAACATTTGACTAGTTTGATATAGTTTTTTTAGATGATGAGATCTTGTAGTTATGATTCCCTTAGATTAGGGAATTGTAAATATTTGGATCATTGGTGTACTTTAATCTCAATCATTTAGTGAGGGGAGCCCCAACTATAAATAGAGGTCAATACTCTTTATTTGTAGTCACTTCTTCATTTAAGAAATATACATAGCATTATCTTATTTCTCTATTTGTCTTTGTGCTAACCATTATTTAAAAAATTCTTTGCTTTCTTTCGAATCCAAGCATTTTTGCTTGGGTTGTTTTTAGGCTTACTTACTTGTGATCACTAAAAAAGCGTCTAAGGTCGCATGTTCGAAACTATAAGATTCTCCAAGAACGTGACAAGAGGTATCAGAGTTAGTTTTTGAAAAATATGGCACCACAAAACCATGTTGAGGTCCTAGTTATTTCTAAGGGTATCGAAACCTATGTTTTTTCTATAAAGAAGCAAGCAAGTTTGAGCAACACCATTGCCTCACATGAGAGGATGATCTCCAGATTTGAAAAGGTTTGACAACTTGATAAGAACAATGTGCAAGAGATCACTAACGAGTTAGGTGAAAAGATAACCCAAGAATATGAATCAGTTAGGGTCAAGGTGTTGGCTCTAAGAAAGGAGTTTGAGAAACTCAAGGATGAGCATATGTTGGTCTTGATGGCCAAGGTGGAAGAGCTCGAGGGCGAGCATTTTCTATACAGGTCCACTATGACTGCATTGAAGGATTGGAAGATTGTGAAGAAGTCCAAACACCATGGAGATATCACGAAGCCAGAGAAGTTCAAGGGGACGAGGTCCGCACAGGATGTGCATAACTTCATTTGGGGCTTGGAGTAGTACTTTTGAGCCATGGGTGTCAAGGATGATATTGTTGGGAAATAAACCAAGTACAAGTAATTTTCCTATTACCAGATTAGTGAGAATACGAAATAAAAGCGGAAAAATTTATGTGTTTGACTAGTCATGGCTTTTAAAGGTTTAAAAATTTTAAGTAAAATGATGTGTTTTATGAAAATTGTTGGTGCATGAACTATAATACTTGTGTAAAACTTTAAAAGATCATAACCTCGTGGTTGAATGTAATATATATCCTATAATCGTTTTTATCTCGAAAAATATTAATTTTTCTTTTAATTTTAATTTTAAAATCTTTTAGGTTTTATCGATAATTTTAAATCTTTAACGTCATTCGTTTAAACATGTCGAGTTTAAAAATTTTATCTTTTATATAACAATACATCATTATGTATAAGAATTTGGTAGTATAATTTACTACAAAATTCCTACTTTTCTTTTTATTTTTAGTGATATAATTTTAAATTTATTTCAATTTAGACACTAGGATAGAAAAGGAAATTGCAATCAAACTAAAATGATTGACAACTGCCACCATGGTTTTCAGAATCGGACCGGTTAGCGAACCGGCCATGTTATCGGTTCAACCGGTTGAACCGGTCTGACCGGTCGGAAGAACCGGACGACGTCATAATTATTTAAAAAATTAAATAAAAATACTAAAAATATTTAATAAAAAATAATTTTTTATATCACAAGTTATATTCAAAGCAAGTCATAACATATATAAATTAAAAACCATAAAATCAAGTGAAACAAAATGATTCAAATTAACTACAACATAATATTTAAGGTAAAACATATTAAATAATAAATATAATTATATAACTATAATTAAAAAATAAATTTGAGGCTAAAAAAATCATAACAAAATGATATTGTTTGGTTTAATTTTTTTTTTAAAAACAATCCCACATGGCTAAGAAACATAGAAGAGCATCTCAAAAGTCTAAAGAGTAAAAATATGAGAACAAAACAATCTCACATTGCTAAGAAACATAGAAGAGCATCACAACTAACTTCTATAAATAATAGAGGTAATTTGGCATTCAAAATCATGGAGCCTTTTGGTGAGCATTGAGTGAACTATTCTTTCACTTCAATCAAGCTCGAAATTTAGGCTTCAATTGAGCTTCTAAATTATTTTTTTTTATTTCAAGTCTTTTTGAGTTCAAGTTTCAATATTATATTTCGAGTTCGAGTTGAACTTGATAATTTTTAACTTGTAAGTTTGAGTGGAGTTGAGTTTACTTTTAAAGTTTTCAAGTTCGAGTCGAGCTTAGCAATACTCGAGTTCGACTTGGCTCGTTTAACAAATGACGTTTGGTTTAATTTTTTTTTTAAAAACAAAATTTCTGGTTTTTCTGGTTTTTTCCGGTTTTCAGCCGGTCCGGTTCGAATGATTCAACGGTTATGACCGGTTCACTAATAACGATTCAACCGATTTAGATTAAACTGGACTAGGCAACGATTTTCGGTTGAACCGATCGGTCCGGTTTTCAAAACAGAGACTGTCACACGACGACTCTCTCTCCCAATTACTGTAGATTTCACCCAAATCCTTAAATGATTTTATACCGTACACATCTCCCTACATTTGTCACAAAGGCACATTAGGTATAATTTTTTACCCCGATATAAAATATTAAAAATAAAAATATTTTAAAAAATAAAAATAATAATTATTTAATTAAATATTAAAAATATTTTTAATATTTTATTTTAATTTTATTCCACAACCTTTGAGTCAACTAAATAAATAGACTTCGTGACAGACTCTTTGGGTCAAGTCAAGAGCCGACGACTTTAAATCATATGTACATATATTAAGCGTAGAGCCATTCAAAATTTCATATCCTCTCTAGGAAAATAGAATAGAGGGTAAATTATATCATTCATTAATGAATTATACTCTCTCTCCTATTTTTATTCATTATATTTTTAATTATTTTAATTTACTTATTGAAATTTTTTAATTATTCTTGTTTTAATTACTCTGAATTATTTTATTATTATTTTTGTATGATATGTCATTTTATTATTATTATTATTTAACATAAAATAAAAATAAAAATAAAAAACAAAAGGTGACCAGACATCAATATCGATCGCCATATATGGTGGTCGTTCGGTCTCAAATTTCATCGGTCGGTTTGCCTCAACAACATGAGTTCGAATTTGACATCCATTTTGTCGAAACTTGCTTCAAAGTCCACAAATTGAGGAAGCCGAAAAAGTTTCAGTCAAGGTTCACGAGTCTTGAGACATTTTCTAGGGAAACAATCACCAAATTCGGACTCAAGGGGTCTACACGAACTAACCCATGAAATTTGAGACTGAACGACCACCATCTAAGATTGTCGACGGTGGCATCCAACCACATTTTATTTTTATTTCATATTTTTAATTATTTTATATTAAATAATAATTAAAAATGTCATGTCATACTAAAATAATAATAAAATAATTTAAAGTGATCAAAACAAGAACAATATCAAAGTTTAATGAGTTCAAACATCGGCAGTTATAGCAGAGTGATTAAGCGTTTACTGTCAAATAATTACAATTATTTAAAACAGATACTAATCACCTTAGCTTAATCAATTTTTTTACATATTTGAGCAGTCGTGGTCGGACGATCTGTATATTTTACAAATACGTTCAAATTAAAATTTTAATAAAAATTGAATTTTTTTCATCAATTTTTTACCGAGAGAATTTTTTATATGAAGACAACTTTTAAAAACATAACAATATTTGAATTTATGCAATTAGCTGACTGGATTTTTTTTGAAATCCATTCTATAATAAAAATGTATATTTATGAGACACTAGATCTCTTAAACAAGATTAAGAGTTTGAATTTTGACAATTACGAATGGAATAAACTGGGTAGGAAGGGTTACATTTGCTTCTATAATACTTAATCCGGATTATTCGATTAATAGATTTGATATCGATAATTATAAAAAAATAATGTATAATTTTGTGCTAATCTTAACGTGTTTGTTTGGGGTAGAAATTAGAATGCAACATTAATTTCTTCCTAGCTTTGAAATCTCACTCAACCTAATTATAATGGACAAAATTTGAGTACGAGTCAAGCATAGAGTGATCATCTTTCAACGTCGACTTAGATCCTTGTTTCGTGGGTTTTAACTTTCAACCAGAAGACCATTTCAATCTTTTCAGATGTACTATTACCTTAGTTCAAAATAATAATAATAATAATAATAATAATAATAATAATAATAATAAGCGTTTATGTAGAAAAAAATGACGTTAATTAGAATAGTTAATTAGATCATTATTTTTTTAATAGCGTAGTATTTAATATTTCAAGTTTTGATTAAAATAATTCTTATTCACATATCACACCACTTAAAATAATATTATGATAATAATTAAATATATGTAAAAATATCATATCAATAATAATTCATGTCAACTGTTGTTCTTCTGATGATAGTGCTCAATCCCCTTGTTTATATATCCTCCTAAACCCACCCTGTTTTTCTTCTACTTTACATTCTCCATCCATCAAATAATCTTTGATTCCATTGTTTCTCAAGTTTTCTTTTTCTGTCCGTGGAAACTGCAACATGAGCAAGAAGGTCACCAGAGAAAGCAAACTAAGCAGATACCTAAAGGCGCCCATCAGGATCCTGATGAAGGCCGGGGATTTATACATAACAAGCATGACAGAATACTCCGAAAGGATTGGATTCGGCACCGTCATGGGCTGCCCCACGGACCAAGTTAATGGCTTGTCGAGGACCTATAGCATCGCCTCGACAAAATCGAGAAACGGCGACGACGACTTGAGGGAACTTATTCGAGCTGCCTCCTCGAGGAGTTTACGCGACAAGGCTCCGATGGACCTTCTTGGAAAACAACCGGGAAGGCGGTCTCCGACGACCGGAGCAAATCGTATGGCTAGAAATCACGGTGTTGGGTTTGGGAGGATTGATGAAGATAAGCCTTGTGACTTCGACGATATTGAAGATCGTATCAATGTTAAGACTGACGTTTTCCCAAGGAGCAGGAGTTATGCTGTTACAAAGAAAAAACCAATTTTCTTCTAAGCTGTTCTATCTCCAAGTGAAATTTGTAAGGGAATTGGAAAAAAAATGGGACCTTTGGTTATTTTATGTATTGAGAAACATAGTGTCGGAAAACAGAAATCCTATATGTATTGTATGTTTCAAATCTTAATGTTGTAATAATCTTAAATGGGTAAACCAGGAGATTGAAATCTAATTGTGCTTGGAAATATGGAATTTTAACCTTTCCATTGGAATTTGGAGTTGGAAGGTGTTAAGGTAATTATATCAACTGCGCATATTATAGATACTATAATGTGTATCATTAGTAATTATATAATTTAGGGGTTGCTAACGCAAATTTTTAACAGAGGGTATTAAAATGAAATGTAAACTAAATGTTAGGTATGATTTAAAAAAATTGAAAGTTTAGATACCAAAACAGATCAAAACTGATAATTTAGGTACTAAATACGTAATTTACCCTCTATTTTATTATAGAATTGATATCAATATTCGATGATCTGTTTGAAAGCCATTAAGAGTTGAGAGTACAAAAACTACTAAAATTTCTTCTCTATCTGATAACGAACTGGAGACTCTCGAGTGTCTCTCTTGGGTAAGAAAACACCCTATTTTGTCTGGTTAAGGAGAACAAGGTTGTTAGACACTTAAACTCTCCCCAGAGATTTTCTTCTATGGTAACTTGACTGTTAAGCTTTCAAGTTCCATGACACACCTTGGAGAAGAAATACCAGAGGATGTAGAAATCAAACTGTCAATAACTGAGTGAAGCAATAGTGTAGTAAGAGTGTCCATCATTCATCATCAACTTACAACCCATTCTCCACTAGTTTCCAGCACCAAGCCCTTAAGAAAGAATAAACCAGCAGTGCAACACATCCACAACAAAGCAGCACGAACAAAATTTGTTTCCAATGGCAGCAAAAACTTGAACTCTCGGTAAACTCTAAACGTAAATAAACCATTCAAAAAGCTCTAGAAAACTAACCCATATTATAATGACAAGATGAACCAAGCCAGCTTGAACTTTTTCCTTCCCAAAGCTATCTGCAGTCCCTTGCACAAAATATTGGCTTTAGCTACAAGATCCCTGTTTTAACCGAACAATCTCTCGCAAACTACCAGAGCCAATAGCCACTATTACCAACAACAATATCCACACATTTGCGGCATTCAGAGAACCTTAAAATGAAAAAAAAGCAACAAAATTGGATTTTTCCTAGTAGAAATTGCATTCTTGGTGAGCTTTGAGATAAGGGATGTATTACAGTAATTTTCCAGCCTATCAAGCTTTAATAAGCAAGTGAATGCAGAACAGGCTCACGATGTAAACTATTTTCAACACCAAATGTCACGACTCAAGAACTCGAGCAAGATTACTTTCTCATGAAATGTTGAAAAGCTGCAGCAGCATCTACGAAGGGTGGAAAGATACAAGTTAAACAAGAACTTCTTATCATAACCACCTAATTAGCTGACACATGGCTTCACCCCAACAGAAAGAAAGTCCCAATAAGTGAAGAGGAAGAACAGTGAAGATGAAAAACAACTCTTGAAAAAAAAAGTAAAGGAAAGTTGAAGAAAGAAGATGTTTTTAGGCGGAAGAGAATTTATCCGGTAAAATTGTTCAACAAGACGGTTGAATTTCAGCTCATTAAGTTTGCGTTCCTTGTTTGTTGAAAATTAAAAGGTTGAAGAAGTAGGTTGAATATTAGAGTGTTAATAGAGTTGGTTACCTTTTGTTATTTTCTAAGTAGTTATAATTCAGTTACTTTGTTAGAGTGTTGTTTATGGGCTATATAAGCCTATCAATGTAATGGACTAAAGTGCGACGTCTTTGTAATTTATTTCTACTCGTTTAGTGAAATATGCCATTTTCTCCATATTTGTTATCTTCACTAAAATAATCACTGGTTCTACTTTCACCGTTCATAGCTGTCGTTCGGTAGCCGCCAGCCACCGTGCTGGAGTTTAAGATTTTCACATGGTATCATTCGCTAAAGATCCAGACGCCTTTGTTTTCTTTCGTTGTTGCGCCATCGATTGACTATTGGGTTCCCTCATCCATTACTACAATTTTTATTTGTTGTAGATCTAAATCAGTTCAACTGTTGTTGCTTCCGCCATCGGATTGTCACTTTCCTCTGTTGCCTGCACCGTCAATTGGAGATTCAGTTCTTTTTTAACGCCTTTGTTACAACAATTGTTTTTCTTTGAATGTTTTCTGATCTGATAGGTACTGTGTTGAATGTTGATCACCATTGCTACAGATTTGGGTTGTAAGATAGTGTTGCTGATCACCGTTTTCTTTTTTAGATTAGAATTTCTGGGGATGCTATTAATCTAAATAGTTGACTTGGAAGTAGGTAAAAAATTGATGGTAGCATGAATTAGCTTTTCAATTGAAACGTTATGGGAGCAAGATTTTAGAGTTGGTGTGGATTTGAGCAGTTAGTTTTATGTGCACTTAGCAATCGATTGTGATAAAGATTTGCATAAAAGATTGCTGCTGGTTTAGATTGATGTTGAAATTCACTGCATATGTTTTTGTCATGGTTGATTTGAGATCCATTGTTCATCACTAGTGTTTATTGTTGATTGTTGACATGGGCTCCTATTCGTATTGCTATAACAAGCTGTTACTGATTTGGTTCTAAATTGATATTGTTGAATGTTGTCCACAAGCACTACATGGTTTTGGTTGGTTGTTCGGTTAAAATTCATTTTGCAATTCTGTTATTTGTTTTCTTCTTCCACAAGATAAACCTGACATTTAGTGAATCAACATTCAGGTGTTCATGGTAGAAAATACCTGGGGAGGGTTAAGAGTTCAACTCCGGCCACCATGCCAGAGTTGCAATATTTCTCACAATTTGCCCGTTGCACATCAAATTATTCCGCTGCTTCCATAATCTCAAACCCGAGATACCGAAAAACCGTCTCTAGTGGAAATCCACCTAATCCCATCCTGCATTATCAAAAAGATTAGAATGAAGCCAATCAAATAGGTTTAAGGAAAATAAATTTATCTTGGATTGGCCGGGAATCATATGTTCCTATACTATGCGCACCGAATGGAAGTCGCGAAGCACATGGGTTATAGTTTCCTCTCCATTGCTATAAATAGGGAAGTTGTGGCCCTTAGTGAGACATCTCCTAGCCCTTTCAGAGTTAGTCATGAGCATCTAGTGAAGAAAGAGCCACAAGAAATATTTCACCCATTGGGGACCATCATACTTCCAGGCGAGATTCCAAATTTATTGTAAATATTCCAATTATCCTATTGTAAATGAATGTAAGATGACTTACAGTACATTCCCCAATTTACTCCCATCTCCACATCGATGATCCTATCTCACCTCATCATTAGGGGGAGGTGCGGCAATTACCCACTGATGGGTCTCCTCATCAAGGGAGTTCATGAGGCGTTGAACGTTCCAATGGGCATTGTTAGTAGCGTAGTCCCAGACGGTGCCTTAGGGGTCAAAGATTTGAGCCGAGTTAGTAGTGTTCATGAACAGGTTCCAACTAGGAATCCATGCGTCGTGTCAAAAGTTAGTATCCCTCCCGTCACCAATGGACATACTACCATGAGCTTTGTATTTAGATAGAAGTACCTTCACCAATAAATCGTCAGATCGCGTGAGAAAGTTGTAGCCCGATTCGATAAGAAACGCTTCATTTTAGGGCCGAAGAGATCGAATACCGAGGCTACCATGAATGAGAGGCTGACAATAATTCTTCCAATTAACAAGGGCAGGTTTTGGAGCGTTGCTAGACCCACCCCATATAAATCGAGGAACAAATATGTTTAATTTGATCACACCAACCTAACGGTTGGGCACAGTCAGTATGAAGTAATTCGATATAGCCAAAAGAGTAGCTTTAGCAAGGATCTCTCGACCAACCGAGGATAGTTTGGTTGCCACCCAATTGTTCAGCTTATTGCGAACTTTGTTCATAATAAATTGGAAAGTGCTCTTGGTGACTTTGTTTTGGAAAAGAGGCATGCCCAAGTAGTTACCGAGGTTGTTCGAACATTGAAACCCAAAAAAAGCACAAATACTGTCAGCCGTACTATCTATCATCAGTATTGGAAGAGAAAAAGGTTCTGGTTTTGTTCGAGTTGAATTTATGGCCATAAAACATGTTGAATTGGTCGAGAATGTCCCTAAGAAAATTAGCTTGGCTTTTCGAAGCCTTGCACAGAAGAATTAAATCATCAAGAAAGAAAGATGGGACAAACTAAGCCCACCCCGTGATAGAATCATTAGTTCCTATAAGTCGAAATCCATAGCATAAAGTATGATATGAGCTAATATCTCCATACAGAGAATAACAAGTAGGGCAATAATGAACAACCTTTACAGATTGCCCGAGATGGCTTGAATTCCTCCGATAGAGAACCGTTCCAAAGGATTTGGGTAGTGGATGAAGAGACGACCTCCATGATGATATGATGGATATTATCCGAACAACTCATTCCCTTAATAGAATCAAAGAGGAAACCATATTTGATCTGATCATAGGCTTTCTCTAAATCAACTTTCACCTTCATTCATTGGGTCTTCCCTTTTTCCTTTGCATCTAGTGAACAATTTCTTGAGCAATGATGATTTTTCCGTGATATTCCGCCCTGCTATAAATCTGGCTTGGTTAGGAGCAATGATTTTAGGAAAAATGCACTTGAACCTATTGGCAATGATTTTCATCACAAGCTTATATAAAACGGTGCACAGACTGATTAGCCGAAATTCTGTAAAGGTTTCGGGGTTGGCCATTTTAGGTATGAGGACCAAGAGAGTTTTGTTGAGTTTCGGCTCAATGGAATTACCTTCGAAGATACCTCTAACCAAAGAACAAACAGAACTACCCACGATATACCATTGGCTCCAGAAAAAAGAGAGCATGCAAGCCATCCTTTTAGGGCGACTTGAGTGTATTCACGTCAAACATCATGCTTTTGATCTCCTCGTCCGAGACACTCGAGTTGAGGTGATCAATGCTCTTGAATTCGG